CCATAACCGGGAGGACCCACCCATGGGGAAGTCCCTGCCGCGAACGGAGGCAGCTGAGCGGGTAACCGCGGGAGCCCGGTGTTGATGGGAGGAGACCCCCAACCATTTGCGTGGGCGGGGTGCGCGTCTGAGCTTGGTTCAAAGGACTGGTGGGTCCGACTGGAGGGGCGACCCCGGGGGGGTAGTTGTTGGCAGAGTAGCTGGGAGGGCGATTGGGAGCGCCGGGATGATTCATGGGAGAGAGGGAGGCGGAAGAAGCAGAAGCGATCGAGCCAGGGCGGAGTGGCAGCTGCTGCGGTATTTGAGGGGCGCCTCCGAGACCACCAGGAGGCGGGGTTTGGCTGGACGGCTGGTTGGGGTCGGGATTGATGCTAGCAGTTGATTTGCGTTTTCCGAAGCCAAAGCTCTTGAGGCGGGAGTTCATAGAGCTCATATGGACCGTCTTGACCAAGGAGGGTCAGAGGAAAGAAGGCGACAGGGCGGGGGAGGGGGGAATGGGGGAACGGCAGGAGATAAAGGACCTGCTTGCCTTTGGGGGGGGGGAGGCAAAGGTCGAGGTGCTGCTGGTCAGAGCCAGGCCACACGCTAGGACTCTCAAGCGGATTTGCACCAGTGGGTTGTTCTGCGTGTGTATCTACCTTGGGCCTGGAGGGTACCTGGGCCGACTGATGACAGAGCAAGGCGCAGCAGGCGAAGAGCCGGGGAAGTCGAGTGGGCGAGGTAGTAGGTGGATGTGGGAGAAGGCGAGGTGGAAAGATGGGAAGTCGGCGCAAAAGCAAAAGCGGTGCGTCGCGGTGACGGTGCGCTGGGCTGTGGTATGGGGCGGGCGGGTGCGCAAGAGGTAGAAAATAGAATGAGGGGCAGCTGCTGGATGGAGCCTGGCTGGGATGCCGAATCCGACACGACACAAAAAATGGGAGGGCGACCAAGCAAGTCCTGCACTACCGACCTCGTGTGCTGCGCATGGGTGCTCAGTAGGTAAGGTAGGCAAGGTAGGTACCCAAGGCATATAGCAGTTAGGTCCTCAGCTGTTGCTGCGGGTGGCCAGGTGCGCCTCGGCGCATGTACCCTGTTGGAGGCGAAGACGGGACGTAGGTAAGTGATGTGGACGTTGTGACCGTCCTCGCCGCGGAAGGATTAGACCCCAGGAACCACCTTCACTTCACGTAGGTGTGCATGCAATGCTGTGCTTAGTTCATACCATGCTTGTCACATACAAGTGTCACTGATTGCCCTCTGATGCGGAAGAATTCGAAATTCTTGGGGAATGGTGACTGACGAGGCCAGGGCCGAGCAAGGCGCCTGTCAGGTTGGGCTGGGCCTGGGTACCTAGATAGTAGATACCTTAGGCTAGGTAGGTGTTTGGGCGGATTGGGTTGCGATTTGCCTTCATTTCCTTCCCTCCTTCCTTCTCGTTCCTCTTCTCAATTCCACCGGGGAAAGCAATGAGGGGCAGCTCCGTCACAAAGGGCAGTGGCTGAGGGCGCAAATGGCGCCAGGAGCTGACCACGCTAGCGGCTTTGGCACCACCGGAGTACATGTACTGTAGGACTCACTACTGGTAAGGCTGAGCAAGCAGCGAACAGCAAGCTTGGGCCCAGCAGCGACCAGGGACAGGACACCCACTGAGAAGGCAGATGGGACAGGGTTTTGCATGCCCTGTCGTCTATCGGGAGGCAGTGCACATGGGTGCCATGCCGTCTTGTCTTCACCAGCTTGCTGCCTTGACCCCCAGTACAAGTTACGCGAAGCACCTCAGATAAAAAGAAACAAGCGGAAGGATGGCGTTCATGTTTCGGACCCTGAGTCTGTCTGTCCCTTCATATCATCAATGGTCAGACAGGCTTCTTGGCAAAACCAGGACAGAATCCTGTTGCAGGATCACTCGAAAGCGAGAGCCTGTCTGGTCCATTCTCCGCTCCCCCACTCTCCAGTCGCTGCAGATCTGTGCTTTGAGTTCGCAGTCTGGTGTCTCCTGTTCTGCGACCTGCAGCCTGTAAACACGCTGACAGGCAGATTTGGTCTGTAGGACTTTGCGTAGGACTTTTGGCTCCATCGGATGTGGGGCCAGCTGCTCTCAGGTAAGACGAGTACCTACATGTATGCTACAGTACCTATGAGCCGTTGGACTCGAGCGGCCGATTTACGAGTTTAGCCACGGAAGGCATGTGGCTCGTGTCAATCGTTGGGCCATGCATGACTGATCGAATGTGTAAGGATCATCAGAAGTTGCTATACATGATTGAGGCTTCACACCACACCACCGAGCGACCTAAGTAGGCCCTTGATCGATCGAGCCACCCACGCTTGACCGCGATGCTTCAAGATTCACGGAGGATAAGGAATTACTCCTGAGAAATATTCGTACAACCGGGCCTCCGTCTTGTCGGGGTTTGAATGCAGAATGCTGTCGTCAGTGGCCGGATGCTAATGAACACGACTTCTGGGTTGAGCTCAAGACAACAGGGCTTTTGGGCTCAGACCAACCGGCCGCCTCATTGTGAAATGCAATTGGGTATATACGGGGATGGGAAGCGAGGTGCCCCCGCTTCGTTCACCTTCATTACGTTCGTGAAAGCTCAGCCGCACCCGTGACTTGGAATAGTCGCCAAACCTTCGAGATCTTGTTCCCGCCGTTACCCGCGACATTGACTGGCTTCCTTTCAGCCTACCGCTTGGCTGTTGCTCTAGTCCAGACATTCCGACATGCCGCGGCGTCCGTCGGAAGGCCCAGGGATTGCTTTTATTGACTGCCTCGCGGTCACAGGTAGAGAAAACAAGCCGAGGAGTCTGCATTATTATGACAGGGCGCTACCAGTCATCAACGGTGGCGAGCGACTTGTCCGTTTGAATAGTTGCGTTTCCCAGAGCTCGCTATTCCGCATGTTTCCCACATGGATCAACTTCGACATAGAAGCACATTTTTCAGTGCTTCGCATTCATTGATAAGAAAAAAATGGTGCCTCAAAGAGGTCATAATAAGGTTACCGGCACAGTATGGGAAAGGATATCTGTCCACTCGGATGCCTTTCCCTAGTTCAGAATCAAACTTGACTCCGTAAATGTCTATTCACGCCCATATTCCCACTGATTAACGTTGAGAAAACCTCATCAAGTCTGGTTTGAGGCATCAGTACCAGATAGATGCTGGGTCCTCGGAGTTGCTGTTTTGGAACATTGGTACTCCAGCGTAGCAATAACCAGCGACGTGTTCCGACAATGATTGGAACTTGCTGGTCCAATTCCATACTGTAATCCAAGTGGCCTCTCGCGAGCATCGTGAACCTGTCTACACGGGCACGCCGCCCTCGAGTGCACTGCGGCCACGGATTCACGTCAGCCAGCCAGAGCGACGCTTCAAGTTGTCAAAGACAGAGTCTCGGGAGTACGGGTTATGTCGTATCCCCTGCACGAAGATCGTAGGAGGCTGACGGCAAGTTGTGATGCTATTTCGGGCGCCCAAGCGGGGCCCTGGTGGAGGCAAGTGCCGCCTGTTCGCACCTGTCCAACCTTGACAAGCTTACCATTATTGATTGCAGTCTACGTATCCACATCATATTCGCAGAAGTCGCATCATGTTATCAGCACCCATACTCGGTGAGGGCAGCTCTGGCAACGCTCCTGTTGAGAACGCTCACGATCTTGAAAGAATTTAGACCACAGCGCGGGCCCACGCTGCTTGTGAGCTTCTCGTTAATCGACGGCTCGGCACTGTCGCACGTACCGATCATTCCGATCGCGTACCTCAGGACTAGTGTATGGTCACAGATGAAACACCTTGCATGTCACGACGTCGGATGGACGGCAGCTTCCTGACAACGACGCCTGTTTCCTGACATTCCACCATTTCTCCTTCCTTTCACCACTACAAACGCCACCAGTTTACGCCCCGACACGAAATGATATCGTCCTTAGCGCCCTCAATGTCCTTCTATCAATTGAACCTGGGCCTGTTCACGGTAGTCAACGCTGGTCTGCTCTATCGTCAGTACATCGTGCAGAGGCGACGACTGAGCAATGTCGAAACGAAAGAGAACGAAGACGACCACGTCGAGAGCCAGCAGCTTCTCAGTCCGCCGGTCGAGATGAAGATATCAGCCCGGCGTTTTCAGGTTGAGTACTTCTCCGTTTACGCATTAGCTGTTGGCGCGGACTGGCTGCAAGGCCCTCACATTTACGCCATGTACAAATACGAAAAACAACTCCCCGAAAAGCTTGTCGCTGCTCTGTACGCAGCAGGCTTCATATCCGGCGCCGTCTCCGCGTCTTTTGCAGGCGGACTCGCCGACCGTTATGGGCGACGACTGGCGTGCCTCATCTATTGTGCTACCTACATCCTCACGTGTCTCTCCATGGTCTTCGACAATATCATCATTCTCTTCCTTGGTCGGCTCAGCGGCGGCATTTCCACGACTCTGCTGTACAGCGTATTCGAAGCTTGGCTCATTACCGAGTACCACCAACGCGATCTCACTCGCTCTCAATTGAAGCTGGGCACCGTTTTCGGCAACATGACTACATTGAGTTCTATTGTTGCCATCGCATCAGGGGTTCTCGGCGATGCACTGGTTTCTCGATTCGACGGAGCGCGCGTCTGGCCTTTCCTGGCGGCCGCGCTGAGTGCCGCAGCGGCTGCTGTCCTGATCCTCAAGACGTGGCCAGAGAATTACGGAACAAGCAACAGCAGGGAGGGTGCCGGACAGACGACGTCCCTGGCGGACATGCGCAGTGGCATTCGGACCATCCTCGGCGATAAGCGCATCTGGGGCCTGGGCCTCACGTCGACCTTCTTCGAGGGTACCATGTACCTCTTCGTCTTCTTCTGGTCGGCCGCACTCAAGAGCGCAAGGACAAAGGCAGGCTCCGACGAGGAGTTGCCATTCGGGCTCATCTTCTCGAGCTTCATGTGCGCCATGATGGCCGGGTCAGCCTTATTCTCGCTGGCCACGCCAACACATACGAAGGAGTCGTCGTCGGGCATGCTCATGATGACAGTGCTGGCGACGAGCTGCTGTCTTTCGGCAGCAGTGCTACTCGAGAACGAGCAGGTCTTGTTCTGGACGCTCTGTGTGGTGGAGATGTGCATCGGTGCATACTTCCCTAGCATGTCGTACCTAAAGAGCGAGGTCGTGGAGGACGGCGTCAGGGGAAGGGTGTACAGCATTCTGAGGCTCCCACTCAATCTATTTGTGGTTGTGGCACACAGCCTCGACCAGGAGGGCGACGGGCACAGGAACCATGTCTTTTTGACGTGCGCAGCCCTGTTAATGCTCTCATTCTTCATCATCAAGCGGTCTTTTTCTTCGTGAACGAGGATTCATGTGCTAACCAGCGGGAGGTCCGGGGAAGGACCGGGTTTCGGAGTCTTTTGAGGAGGATTCGATTGGGCGTCAGGGATAAAATGGAATTGTGTCTACCTGCCTAGGCAAGCTACGTCATGGGGACCAACTGGGGTATCGTGAATAAGTAGATAGATGCACTGATGTCGCGTCGTGTATCGAAATTTGATCGCGCGCCTAATGAGCAAGAAATGCCATCAAGTTCAGCTTTTACCCCATCGTCGTAGCCGTGGCTCGCTGCACATCTCCATTCAACGATGAAAATGGAACGCCTCCCCAGTGGGAAGGGACATTGCCCGTGGGGAAAGCTGGCACACTTTGTGCAGGGAAGGACCAGGTCTCTGTGAGATCCCTGCATGCCGACACTACTAGGGACGGGTTTCTTCGCTGGAGGGATGTGGATGTTTCACCACCGCCAGAGAAAAGCAACAGGTGTTGCTGGTATCGCGGCCTCGCCTTCAACCTTTCCTCCTCCCGCTACTTGTCTTTTTCTTCATTCTTCGCGTGTATGGGCGGGGTTACTTGCAGTTCTTGACTTTTTGTTCACCAACGCTCCGATATCGTCGTGCTACTGGTAGTCGGTGTGAAAACGCACACAGGCGCTTGGAGCGAACCCTGGCCAGGACCATCCCAAGTTGGTTACGATTCCCCCACTCACACGCAGCGTGTTGGGGGAGGAAGTGGGCATCGCTGGGCTCGTGGCCATCGTGAAGAGCAAGCGCAAACACGTTCTCACCCCCTCCTTCTCACCGCAACTACTCCTTATAAGGTCAAAGGGGCGCCCTGGATGAGAAAAAGGCCGTCTCTGACCCAGTTGACTGTCTATCTGCGGCAGCCTTTTCGCAACTTCTGACACGAGAAGACACAGAGAGGCAGCCCCCTCTCCGCCGCCTCATTGGATTCGATCGAGTCAGTCGGGGGCGTAGACTTTGTCCTCACACCAACGCAGCGAGCGCCAAATACTACGAAAGAGGGAAGAGAGAAGGAGGGGAGGAAAAAAAAGAAGGAGCACAACGGGCCTCTCTCAGGCTGCACTACCCAAGGAACTGCGCGGCCTTTGTCATTTGACGAAAGGGACGAAACCAAGGAGGGAAATTCACGCTCGAGGTATTCATCGAGAATCGACGGCCATTTGGTTGTGTTTCTGCATCTGCAGGGTTGCCCTCTGCTCGGCCGGGCCTGCAGACCCTCTTCCAACGTCGCACATCCACAGACGGGCCGTTTACAGTGCGTCCGCCTGCCTCGCGAGCATCCCGGCGAGCCGAATCCCCCAGTCCCAATTCCCAGGTGCAGGCGCCGCCCAACCGGGCTCGACAGGACACCAGGACAAGCGAAGGGCGAAGCGAGACGAACGCGAGTGACGAGTTGAGCGCCATTCGTCATCAATCAGCAGTGCACTCGCTCCCTGGTCGGGGACAAGAAGAGCGCGGGCCAACTTTTCCCCCCCTGGTGGTCATTATTCTTGAGCTGACGTCTAGGCGATCACGATAGCGCCAGGTCGACCAGGACCAAGACAACAGCAGGACGCGAGGACGGGCGTGGGCGACGACAAGCGTCAAAGGCAACCCGGCACCGTGTCTGGTCGGCGAGCTTCTGCTGGAGGGAGAGCAGGTGGAGGTGGTAGAGGAGGGGCGGCCCGTCGACGCAGTAGCAGTGAGAAAATGGGCAAGCTGGGCCCATCCTCACTAGGGTACGCGCTGTGTTCGGCGGGCTTGCTGTTGGCCGTTTTGGTGAGTGAGCCTCTCTTTTCCCCTGTCTCTTTGCCTCTCTCGGTCTCCCATTTCCACGCGTATCTACCTCTGCGCCCTTCATTCCTCGTGTCCCCTGGTGCGCAAGCACAATCCCATGCGACCCGGCCCAGGTCGTCTCGTCGGACTCGCTGCCCTGCCACGTTTTGTCGCATGCAGCTTGATGGGACGAGAGAGGAGCGCTATCCACTCAGAGGGTGGCCCGTGAGCATGGTATGATGTTTGGAATCGGCGAAATCTGGAGTGTGTCCGGAGTTAATCCTCAGACAACTGGACGGACCCATGTCCAATGACGTTTGGCGCCCCGATTTCTGCGTATGTTCGAGTTCCCCGCAGACAGCTCGCGCGCCGCATTGCTATGCTGCTGGCGTCTTGCCCTGAACGCACGCAGCAATCGGCGAAGCAAAACAGGCGGCTGGCCGACGCTGCCTGGGGCACGTACGCACACATCCACCTTGGGTAACGCGGCGGCGGGAAGGAGCTGGGAGCTAAGGCAGAGCTGGCGCTGGCGCTGCGTTTTGCTTGCACCAAACTACCCAGACCGGAGCTCCCTGGACTCTGGGCTGGGCTGGACTGGGGAGCTGCACCTGACTGGGATGTTGCGATCAAAGCCCGCATATGCCTCTTGCCTACCTACCTCTAGGTAGTACTTACCTACTTACCTCTAGGTACTTAGGTAGGTAGGTACCTTGCCTTGCCTTGGGTCCCGCCTCTCTCGTCTCGTCTTGGCTTGAACTATCTCCCTCTCTGCCTCCGCGCTTCTTTCTGTCACCTCGTCCTCGTGCCCTCCTCTCCTCTCTTCCTTCCTCACCTTCCTCGCCTTCCTCACTTTGTCGCTTCGTCTCCAACAACCATCCCACACGCCTCTGTCATCAGATCATGAACTGATTTCTGCCCGTGCCTAGCTCGCCCAGCTTCTCCTCGGCGACGCCAAGCTCCCGCTCCCGCTCCAGCTCCATCCGTCCCTCTTCTTGCCCTCCCACCAGCTTCCCTTCTTCCTGCGACCTCTCTTCTCCCCCGCCATCAAAATCTACCCCAATCTCGAACCCGTCTGCGAGAATCCAGCGCCATTTCCCACCCTGCCACCCACCTCACGACCACTCACCATGGCCCTCGAAGCGGAAACGAAGCGCCTCGTGTCGCAGTTTGACTTTACCGACGACCATGTCAACAAGGCCGTCGAGGAGTTCCTCTCCCAGATGCGTACGTATAGTGCCCGCCCATCTCACTTGCCTCGAGCCGTGTACATCATGCCACGCAGCTTACCCCTCCCTCCACCTCCATCGTCGTGACCCAATTGAGCTGACCCGTCACCAGAGGAGGGCCTCGGCAAGGATGGCACCAGCATGAGCCAGATTCCCACCTACGTCACGGGCGTCCCCAATGGCACCGAAAAGGTAGGCAAACTTCTTACCCTCTCTCTCTCTCTCTCTCTCTCTCTCTGTGCTCCCCGCGCCCGCAGCTGTACCCCAGACGCTGACCACGTGCTCAGGGCCTTTACCTGGCCGTCGACCTCGGTGGCACCAACTTCCGTGTCTGCTCCGTCAAGCTCAATGGCGACACGACTTTCAACCTCACCTACAGCAAGGTCGCCATCCCCAAGGAGCTCATGGTTGCCAAGACAGCTACCGAGCTGTTTTCCTTCCTCGCCAAGCAGATCGAGGCGTTCCTGCGCGAGCACCACAAGGACCAGTTTGAGAACAGTGTCCGCCGCCGCCGCACTGTTAGCTCCAAGTCTGGCTACAAGGACGAGCACATCTTCCGTCTCGGTTTCACCTTCAGTTTCCCCGTTGAGCAGCTCGCCATTAACAAGGGCAACCTGATCCGATGGACCAAGGGTTTCGATATCCCCGACGCTATCGGCAAGGACGTCTGCGCCCTGCTCCAGGACGAGATCGACAACCTTCGCCTGCCCGTCCGTGTCGCTGCGCTCGTCAACGACACGGTCGGAACCCTCATGGCCCGCTCTTACACGGCAAACGGGCAAGGAGGGCTCTCTCCTCGGAGCCATTTTCGGCACCGGCACCAACGGCGCCTACCTCGAGAAGCTGTCAAACATCAAGAAGCCCATCCAGGGAGACTACGACGCGGCCACGGGCGAGATGGTCGTCAACACAGAGTGGGGTTCGTTCGACAACCAGCTCAACGTCCTGCCCACGACACCGTGGGATACGTCCCTCGACAAGGACAGCGTCAACCCCGGCATTCAGATGTTCGAGAAGCGCGTCTCCGGCATGTTCCTCGGTGAGATTGTTCGGCGGGTCGTTGTTGATATGATCAAGGATGACAAGCTTTCGCTCTTCCGCGACGACAACTCTAGCCACAACGACTGGAGGTCTACCACCGACGTCGACCCCAAGTCGAGCATTCGCAAGCAGTGGGGCTTGGACAGTGCCATCATGTCCGTGGCCGCTTCCGACAACACGCCTGAGCTGTCCACCCTGCGACAGGAGCTCGAGACAGTGTTGCACGTCTACACCCCTTCCTTGGAGGACGCCCAGGCCTTCAAGGCTATTGCCGGAGCCGTCGGCCGCCGTGCCGCAAGACTCTCCGCCGTTGCGATCGCTGGTATTGTCCTGCAGTCCGGCAAACTCGACGACCCCGAGGCCGAATACATTGATATCGGCGTTGACGGCAGCCTAGTCGAACACTACCCCTTCTTCCGTGACATGATTTATGAAGCACTGCGGGCTGTGAACGGCATCGGGTCCAAGGGTGCTGAGAAGATTC